GTAAAACCAGGAAAACAGTGTGTCTACGTGTGTAAAACTAAGATTTTAATGCAGGGAATAGTTACAGAGGTGACGGAAGAGCTGACGGCCAAACAGGGGACATAGGTAATCTAGAGATTGGCAATAATAGGAAGCCCCTACCACATCTAAACTGCAGGAATTGCTTGGAACCAAGAGTTTGGGTCATCTGACAAAAGCCGGAATCATAGCACCTGGTGGGAGCTGCAAGAGAAGGAAGAAATATAGATGCTTCTATAAATAGGACAGAGATAAGAGAGAGAAAAACAGCCTGTTCCCTTCCTCCATCCCCATCTCCTATCAGTGCTTTCCACTAGTCGAATCCAGCCCCCGATGCAGCTTGCTGATGCCAGGGCAGAGCAGGGGCAGTGAAGAACAAATCAGCCAGCAGATACCGTATACTTGGTTTGACTAAGTCCTGCCAGATTGTTCTAATAACTCTCCTAGCTACACTCCCACCAGCAATGTATCCCTACATCCCATCTACTCTTCATGGCCCTCTGTTCAACAGAGTGGAGGTACAGATCTCCACTATCTTCCTTTAAGTGTGTCTAGCCTATTGCAGATGCCTCAGGCATTTCCTCAAATCTAGCAGCCAGACCGAACTAAAGGACCCATCCATCCACTTAACCAGAACCTCCTGAGGGCAGGAACCTTGTCAAATTTATCTGTAATCCCTTATCTGGCATCATGCTCAGTGCTACTGACCAAGTGAGAAATGCCCTTGTTGACTATTGGTGTCATGCCTTTACCCCCATTGTTATTTGGTTTGCAGGTGTAGTCTACACTGAGGGCAGTTTTCAAGAAGCCACTTACAACATTGTGGAGGAAAATCTCTAGGGAGATTCTGTGGGTGAGGGAGAAGGTTGACAGTAAGCGGGTAAACAAGGTTTAGGACTAGAATGGTTGTCAACACACTGTGTTCGTTGGTAAATAGCCACTGCTGTGAGCAATTCTGAGTGACTGCTGTGCTTTGACGGCTCCAGCCACTCTCTGCAAGATCAGCAACTAAAGGAAGATGCCATTATGATTAGGGGACTCTAGGACTCTGCTGTTGCAATCTAGCTGGCCATCTTCCTGATTGGTTAGTGTATATGCTTTACTGGTTGTTAAATATTTGAAATATTCTTCCCCTGGATGAGTACCACAAAATAAGGAATGTTTGGGGGAAAGTCTGCAGACTTTAGGGTGCCTTAGGGCTCCCAGGAAGCTTGTTTCTTTATGTGATAATGGGGGAGTGAATTCTCTAGGATTATTTTCCTGATAGAAAATGCTGCATTTTTTTTTGCTTTTCTCTCTCTCTTTTTTTTTTTTTTTTTGAGAAGGAGTCTGACTCTGTTAACAGCCCAGGCTGGAGTGCAGTAGCCTGATCTCGGCTCACTGCAAGCTCCGCCTCCTGGGTTCACGCCATTCTCCTGCCTCAGCCTCCCAAATAGCTGGGACTACAGGCGCCCACCACCACGCCCAACTAATTTTTTTGTATTTATAGTAGAGATGGGGTTTCACTGTGTTAGCCAGGATGGTCTCTATCTCCTGACCTCGTGATCCACCCGCCTTGGCCTCTCAAAGTGCTGGGATTACAGGCGTGAGCTACCGCGCCCGGCCAACTTTTCTCTTAATGAATAACTTACATAGTAAAATGCACACATCTGATGTGTACAGCTCATTAAAATTTTACATATATACTAACATATCCACCAACAGATCAAGATATAGATTTGCATCTTCCTAGCAGACTCCCTCATGCCTTCTCTTTGTCAGTTACCCGCCAAGTAACCACAATTCCGACATTTATCATTATAAATTAATTTTGTCTCTTTTAAAACTTCATGTTAGTAGGAACACAGTGTATACTCTTGACGTCTGGCTTCTTTTGCTCAACATTAAAAACATACTTCTTCTGGGATTTATTTGACTATTTTTCCAATTTGGAGAAGAAAACAGACTTGATCATCATCACCTTGGTATTTCGTTGCTAGTGTTTGCTGAATAAATAAATAAGAAACCATCTATTTTCGTGACATCTGCATCATCACAAGTTGATAATTGCTCCATATGGTAATTTTGACTCCATACATTCCATACCATAATTGTAGTCGTTACTTAGAGACTATCTCTCAGTCTCTCTCTGTTTCTCAACTCAAAGGTGAAATGTATTAAATACAGTAATCAAGTGAGCATATGTTATTTAAGAATGAGATTGGTGATGTTCCAGGTGTTTATTTCTAGACTTTTTGCCAGGTAAGGTGGCCATTTCATTCCCAAAAGGATTACTCATATATAATAGTATTTGAATAACAAAACAAGCATTTGAATAACAAAAACAAGTATTTGAATAACAAAAACAATAGAACTTAGCAAACGTGGTGAAACTCCATCTCTACTAAAAATACAAAAATTAGCCCAGCATGGTGGTGCGTGTCTGTAATCCTAGCTACTTGGGAAGCTGAGGCAGGAGGATTGCTTGAACCCAGGAGGCGAAGGTTGCAGTGAGCTGAGATCGCACCACTGCACACCAGTCTGGGCAACAGAGTGAGACTCTATCTCAAAAAAGAAAAGAAAACAAAACAAAACAAAGCAAAAAAATAGAACTTTAAGGTGAGAAATTGGAAAGCAGTCCTGAATTGGTAGAAACCCTAGGCATCTGGACAAATTATTTATTTGTTTGTTTATTTAAGAGTGAGAATTTGCCAACATATTATTTTGCTAAATATTTTTAAAAGGATTACTGAAGCTGTAGAAAATATATAGAAAGCCATCTTAGGAAACTCTACCTCTTGCTTGCTGATATATAAATTGTAGTCAGTTTTTTCTTCTTTTTGTCACAACCTTTGGAGATTCCGGTAAAATGCCTCCTTCAGAATATTTCTGGGCATCCTTTGTTTATTTTTTTTGGTTACATGAATAAGTTCTTCAGTGGCAATTTCTGAGATTTTGGTGCACCCATCACCTGAGCAGTGTACACTGTACCCAATGCATGGTCTTTTTTCTCTCATCCCCGTCCCTATCCTTCCCCCCAAGTTCCCAAAGTCCATTTTATCATTCTTATGCCTTTGCATCCTCATAGCTTAGCTCCTACTTATGAGTAAGAATGTACAATGCTTGGTTTTCCATTCCTTAGTTACTTCAGTTAGAATAATGGTCTCCAGATCCATCCAGGTTGCTACCAATGCCATTATTTCATTCCTTTTTATGGCTGAGTGTTATATATACCATCATATATATACACATACCACAATTTCTTTATCCACTCATTATTGATGGGCATTTGGGCTCGTTCCATATTTTTGCAACTGCAAATTGTGCTGCTATAAACATGTGTGTGCAAGTATCTTTTTTGTATAATGACTTCTCTTCCTCTAGGTAGATACCCAGTAGTGGGACTGCTGAATCAAATGGTAGATCCACTTTTAGTTCTTTAAGGAATCTCCACACTGTTTTCCATAGTGGTTGTACTAGTTTACGTTCCTACCAGCAGTGTAAAAGTGTTCTCTTTTCACCACATCCACACTGACATCTGTTGTTTTTTTATTTTTTGATTATGGCCAGTTTTGCTGGAGTAAGGTGATATTACATTGTTTTGATTTGTATTTCCCTTATAATTAGTGATATCTAGTCTTTTTTCATATGTTTGTTGGCCATTTTTATATCTTCTTTTGAGAATTGTCTATTCATGTCCTTAGCCCACTTGTTGATGGGATTGCTTGTTTTTTTTTTCTTGCTGGCTTGAGTTCCTTGTAGATTCTGAGTATTAGTCCTTTGTTGGACATATAGGCTGCAAAGATTTTTCCCATTCTGTGGGCCGTTTACTCTGCTGATTATTTCTTTTGCTGTGCAGAAACTTTTTAGTTTAATCAAACATTGTTCAGACAAATTGTTACAAATCATTCCTGCAGGACTCCATTCAGCCTAGACAACCATACCTTTAGTCTAGTTCTCACAGAATTTCTACAGAAATCCTACCTCCTCAAAGTAATAAAAAATTTGCATTAGCAATCAGACTAATATCAAAGATAATAAAAATAACAATTGGGCTACTTATAATGATTACCTACATAACTTTCTCCATTAACTACCTCACAACAGCTCTGTGAAGTAGGCAGGACAAATATTACCACCCCCAGTTCACAGCTGGGATAATAGTACTCTGCATAATAATAATTCTTGAGGGATTCTTAAATGCTGGCACTGTGTTAATTTCTTTATATTCATCGAATATCCCCAATAACCCTATAGGTAGATACTATTATTTTCCCCATTTTCAGGCTAGGTAATTAATGAAGCTTAAAAATGTAAGTAGCCTGCCCCCAGGAGTGCATAATTATTAAGTAGCAGAACCAATGCTTATGTTTAAATCAGAAACACTCAGAAGTAGCATGAGAATTTAGTAAAACCGAAACACACCCTCATGCAATCCGTACTATGTGGCCACGTGCCTACCAGGGTCAGCTGGATGGTACTTGTCTGCTAGAAGTGATTCGAGACAGAAGAATCAACACGAGCTGGAAGGGCATCTGGAAATCAGCTGGGGACTAGAGACAGGTGTGCAGCCCTCGGTTTACAAAGGCTGTGAGACCAAGAGTTCCAAGACCTCCAGGAAAACATCTCCCTGCTAAAAGGCTTTCCTAACCTTTAGAAATCTATTCCTTTCCCTCCCTTTCCATCCTCTTTCTCTTGCTATCTCTTTATCGCTCCTCCTGCCTTCTTCCTTTCTTTCCTTCAGTTAACTTTTTTTGAAACGATGATGAGCAAAGGCCTGATCCAGTCTATGGCGCGTTTCGGTGGGACGATGAATATGCCTTCCCAGCAGAGTAAAATGTGATTACACCAAGGACTGGTTCCCTCTCCCTTTCCCCGGCCAGGTCAGCGTCCTCAGGCGTCGGAGAAGGGGTTGGACCGCTCAGCGGGCTGTCAGAGTTGCCAGGCGCCCGGGGCAAATACGGGCAGCCGGTGGCTGTGAGGTGTCCTAGCTACGGGGCGGCGGCAGGACACACACACCGCCCAAGCCCGGACGGTGGCCGGAGCTAAGGCCACCATGGGGGACTGCAGGCGGCGGCTCCAGCCGGGGACGTTGGCCCCGGTGCGCGAGGACGTGAACTGTAGGTCCAGGTAAACGCTCAGTTCCCGGGCCGAGGGCGCATCCCACGCGGGCCGCGCGGGGGCGCCTGGAGACCCGCGCTTGCTGGGGCGGGGGCGGGGGGAGAGGTCCTGCCTGCCTTCCCTCCTCAATGCTTCCTGTACGTACAATATAATATGCTGAGATAACCAGCGCTCGGTGCTGCTCTTCGCAAAGGATTTTTCCTCCTGTCATCCTCACAACCCCCGCCTCTCACGCCCCCAGGGATGTAGACTAATATCTCCATTTCTGATGGGAAAGTGATGGCCGCAGGGTCCGCTGCGGAGGCTGGTTTAGCCCAGGACTCTGAGCCCTCCTGCTGACCACCCACCCTTCTCCGGCCTAGCCAACCAACTGTTCGTCAGTTGCCCCGGGGCGCCTGGGGTCCTGTATCCGGTGTTAGGCATCTGTTGCCCCTGGAGCCTTTGGCATCCAGATGGGGGCTGTGACCAAGTGGAGCCCAGGGTTGAGGGAGCGCCTGGGGTACTAGGGAGGTCTGCTAACACTTTGTACGGTTGTGGTAGCCTCACAGCAGGAACAAGAATGTTTTTGCCTTTGCCAACTCCTTGAGAATCTTTTGAGAATGGAATTCGTCTCTCTTGGAGACAGCACGATGTGGTGGTGAAGATTCCAAAGTCTAGAATCAGAAAGGCTTGCGTTGAAGGCTGATTCTCCTCTTGTTTGGAGACTTAGGCAACTTAGGCAAGTTGGTTGCTCCTTCTGGACTCACTTTCCTAACTATAAAATGGGGCAATAACTTGGGAATCAGCTTTCTAAGATTGTTGTGAGGATTAATGGAGATAGCACATGTAAACTTGTCACTGGCACATAGAATGTATTGTGTACATGTTAGCAATTATTCATAGTTGTTTCTAGCAGTTATTCATAAGAGCTTCTTTGGGAAGCTTTTCCCTCCATTTAAAAACTTTGTTTTGAAATAACTGTAGACTCACAAGAAGTTGCAGAAATAGTACAGAGTTCCCATGTACCCTTCCCCTAGCTGCGTACAGTGGTACCATTTTACATAATGATAGCACATTGCCAAACCAGGAAACGTCATTGGCAGAATATGCTAATTGAACTATAGACCTTACTTGGATTTTATCAGCTCTTGCACTCAGGTGTGTGTGTATACAGTTCTGTAACATTTGGTCATATGTATACATCAAGATACAAAACTGTTTCATCCCCACAAAGGAATGCTTAGTGCTACCCCTTTACTGTCACTTCCTTTCCCACCCCAGCCTTGGCGATCAGTAAACTGCTCTCCATTTCTGTAAGTTAGTTCTTTTTGAGAATGTTAGATAAATAGAATAATATGGTATGTAACTATTTGAGACTGGTTCTTTTTCACTCATCATACAGCCCCTGAGATCCATCCAAGTTGTGTGTATCAATAGTTCATTTTCGTTGCTGGCTAGTGTTCCTTGGTGTGGATGTACCACAGTTTGTTTATCCATTCACTTGTTGGAGGATATTCAGGTTGTTTTGGACAGTACAGTTTTTGGGCTATTATGTAGAAAGCTGCTATCGACATTTGTATACAGAATTTTCTAAGAACATACGTTTTCATTTCTTTAGGATACATGTCCAGTATCCTTTTGCAATTCTTAAAGAGGGAAATATCCACATATCATGTACTAGCGTCTGTGAAAACAGTAAATATTTAGAAAAATTGTTTTCAATTTTATTTTATGGGCCAAGCAAGATTTTTCCTGACCCTAACATAATGCAGAGTGGTAAGCTTATTAACTATGAGAGGCCGTGTGGGGGAGAGGAAGGCCCTCCCTCTACACTTGTTGCCTCACTCTCCTCTTGAAACTTAGTTTCCTTATTGAAAAGAGGAAAGTGGTAGCCAGGCATGGTGGCACATGCCTGTAGTCCCAGCTACTCAAGAGGCTGAGGTGGGAGGATCACTTGAGTCTGAGAGGCAGAGGTTGCAGTAAGCCAAGATCACACCATTGCACTCCAGCCTGGGCAACAGCAGAACCCTGTCTCAAAAAAAAAAAAAAAAGAAAGAAAAAGAAAAAGGAAAGAAATGAGGAACGTGGCTCATGCCTGTAATCCCAACACTTTGGGAAGTGGAGGCAGGAGGATCGCTTGAGCCCGAAGTTTGAGACCAGCCTGGGCAACATAGCAAGACCCTGTCTCCTCTCTCTACAAAAACAATTTAAAAATTTAGCTAGGCATGGTGGCACACACCTGTAGTCCCAACTATTTGGGTCACTGAGATTGGAGGATCCCTTGAGCCCAGGAGTTTGAGGCTGCAGTGAGCTATTGAGTTATAATTGCTACTGCATGCTAGCCTGAGCAACAGAGTGAGACCCTGTCTTGAAAAAAAAAAACAAAAAACAAAAAAACGGAAAGAAAAAGACGAATGAAGAAAGTAGACTGGATTTCTCTCAGGATCTCTGCCAGTTCTAACATTCTATGAGGTTTCAGCTCACTGCCACATACATTCCCCATTTTGAGTTGTATGGCTGTACTTAAACAAAAATATTTGTTCTCAGATTTGATTTTGTGAAGTGCTTGGGTGCATGAGTTAGCTGTAAATATGCATAAAATGAACTTTGTAAAGATATTTAATATGGAGAGTTACTTACTAATAGGTAATGCTGAATGGGTCACCAATCTTATGATTAAATGTAATTTCAACATCTTTCTGCCATTTAGCTATTTAAGAGTGATTTGTTAGGCCGGGCGCGGTGGCTCAAGCCTGTAATCCCAGCACTTTGGGAGGCCGAGGCGGGTGGATCACGAGGTCAGGAGATCGAGACCATGGTGAAACCCTGTCTCTACTAAAAAAAATACAAAAAACTAGCCGGGCGAGGTGGCGGGCGCCTGTAGTCCCAGCTACTCGGAGGCTGAGGCAGGAGAATGGCGTGAACCTGGGAGGCGGAGCTTGCAGTGAGCCGAGATCGCGCCACTGCACTCCAGCCTGGGCGACACAGCGCGAGACTCCGTCTCAAAAAAAAAAAAAAAAAAAAAGAGTGATTTGTTAAATGCAAAGAGTAACTTTTTGTTAAGTTCATCTTTTTGTGTCCTTTCATCTAGATTTTCACAGTAGAGTTGGGTTAAGCCCTTAAAACAACACATACACATCTATGCAGCAAGTAAGAAGTTTCTAGGACTCACTAGAAAATAACTGGGGTCAGGCTGGAATCTCTTAAAAACACTTTGTAGCAATGGGTGTAGCAAGGATTAGATTTGGTGTATAAAGACATTACAGATTAAAGGGGTCTGAAGGTGGAAGAGGCTTCAGGGAAGGACACTGAGATTCTAGAAATATCTGACTAAGGCATTGTAGTATGTGGGGATAATGAGATGCTCAGATTCCAAGTTGTGACTTTGGTGTTCGCTGGTTGTGTTAGGTTATTCGGGAGCTGGTTCTGTTTTCCTTCCTGTTTGCCCATCTGTCTCTTCCATCTCATCTCTGTGCCTTAACTACTCAATGATAGCAGGGGGCTGGTGGATAAGGAGGCTGAGTGAAGCGGCTATATATATGGCGGTAGGGAGAGGTGGAGTTTGTGAATGAGAGAGCAGGTGGTTTGTCTCAAGTGGGCAACTGATATACCAATTGTGGCTCCTTGGAAAAGTGGACCTACTGTTCACAGATCTTGAAAAATCTGACTTTTCAAGAGCAGCTGTTTTTCCTGGTTATTTATGTGAACATTTTTATTTATCAGAAACTAGTAGAGTGATTAAGCACCTTTTTCTGGAGCTGCACTACCTGGGTTAAACTCCCAGCTCTACCACTTATTAGCTGTGTGACCTTCGACAAGTGTTTGTTTTGCTTTTTAACTTCTTTGTGCTCAATTTTCTTATCTGTAAATGGGAATAATACTCATACCTAATTCATAGGGTTGTTATGAGATTTAAATATGCTGGTATGTGTAAAGCACTTAGAAAGTGTCTGTTATATTGAAAATTCTCAATTTATGTTAGCTATTATGATTTTTATTAAAACATAAGGAGGACCAAATGACAGGTTTATTGGCCCGATGTAGCCATGGACAGCCATTTTGCAACCTTTGATCCCCTAAGTTTAGGGGGAATCCACAGAGGTTATATGAAGAGCCAAGGCCATTCAGCTATTTAGGGGCTGAGTTGTCAGTGGGATCCAGGTTCTTCCCACCCCACTGCACTCTGTCCCTTTTAGTGAAGGGAGAGGGTCCTTGGGAAAGGCAGCAACTTGAGTGTCCTTCACAAAGTGAATGGAGAGAAGAAGTGTGGTGACAGCAGTTGGAATAATGAATTAGATTTATATAGAGTGACATGGAAGGGTCTTTAAAATATAGTGCTTGGTAAACAAGAAACAGAATAGTGCCATTTACATAAATTAATAGTGCATGCACACAAAAGGATGCTTCAGAATTTCAAGGAAGTGTACAAACAAAGGATATATTCCAAATCCACTAGAACAGTTTTGCTTTTGCAAGGGAGACCAGTGAGACTGCGATGTGGGGATAAAATAGACAAGAAAGCAGGAGAGGGGTCTTGTACAGAGCAGCGATTCTGTGCTATGAACTAGGAATATGATTAACTCCAGCTTCTCTAGTGAATCCCTCTTCCCCTACCCCCCACCCCAAAAGCTGGAGACCAGCCTTTTTACTACCTCCTTCTCCCACCCAAGTCCTGTGGTTAATATGAACAGGCACGTCGTATTCTAGGTACAAAGAGAATTTATCTACCTTTCAGATGTTTCACAAAGCACAAGAATGCGCTGAAGTTCCCCACTTCCCTGAACAGCCGGCAGCTGGTATTTCTAAGAAAGAGGCTGGATGACTTCAGGAAGGGCAGCCCGTCTTGCACTGGTCTGGTGACTCAGGTCCCTGTGGAGGGCTTTCTGCCCCAGATTTATCACAGAGCTCCCCAATTGGCCCCAAAGAAGAGACAGATCAAGCTGCCCAAGGAAGCAGACCTGCTTTCCAAGCTCTCGCCAGCCCAGCAGGCTCAGAAGGCATTCCTGGAGGACGTGGAGGCCCACCTGACCCCACATCCCTTGGCGCTCTACCCGAATCTGGAAGAAGCTATGCCTGTCGAGGTGATGTGTCCTAGGGTTTGTGGGAGGGGCTTCACTGGGGCCTTGCAAATAATTCTATTTAAATGTCTAGGGAGTCCCCATGAGAGGGTGACATATATTTATGAGAGGAGCAATGAATGTCTCCCCCAGGGCACGAGTTCTTGTGGGCCTCAGAGCAGCCTTCTGTCCTCTGCTCCCAGAAAACACAACCAGCAGCAACATGCACACTGCTCTCTTTGCTTCCTATGAAGCCCTTCAACTTACAAAGATCCCACAAACCGAAACGTCTGACTTCTGTTCCCCATATTTTCTACCCATCTACTGTACTTTGCATTGTGACTTTTTGGGGGGAGGAAACAGTGAGAGGGAATTGTCTAGTCTTATTTTTGTCACTTTAGCCTGTTATTAAGAGGTGCCCTTAGGTACTTACTAACAGGTGGAAAGAATGAGACTGGAAAGGTCGTGGGGAAAATCCACCTAATGGTCCAGACTAGGGCTGGACAGCAGCAGCTCTGTGATGTCACCCATGTCCCAGGCCTCTCCTGACTTTTAGCTCTGTATCCTTAATATGCATCTCTTGTCTTTGTATCTCAAAGTGGCTTCCATGCTTCCAGGCATCGAGTCTGTATTTCAGACAAGAAGAGGGAAGGGACAAAGGTTAAAGGGTGCATGCCGGCTGACTCTTTTAATTAGGCAAATAATAGCTTTCCCAGTAAACATCTCTTTCATCTCACTACTCCTAGTTGCTAGGGAGTCTAGCAAATGGAGTTTCAGAGTTGGGCGTTGAACCTGAGAAAAACCCAGGTTCTATTGGGTTTAAAGAAAAAAGGTAGAATGGATATTGGGCAGGGAGCTAGCAGTGACTGCAACTCCATCCCCATCCCTGCAGCCTGTATTCTACGCAGAGAGGACGATGGTTCAGAAAGGCAAATCTGTTCAGAGCCCTCCAGTGTCCCCTTCTCTCTCAGAGAAAGCCAGAGTTCTTGTCCGGGTCTGAAAGGCCTTGGCATTCTGCTCTCCACAGTACCCCTGTTCTGCTCCCCCTCCAACTTCACCCCTGCTTCTGCCACTCCAACCACTCTGGCCTCCCTGGCTGCTCCATGGACAGTATGAGCATGTCCAATTCAGCTCTCTGTTCTGGTGCCTGGAACACTTGCTCCAGATGGCTGCTTGGCTTACTCCTTCACTCCCTTTAGATCGATGCTCAAATGTCTCCTAATTGGAGAGGCCTGTATAAAATAGCACTTCCCTTCCACCCTCACACTCTACTCCTTACCGTGCCCTACTTTTCACTGTAGCACTTGCCACCACTGAGCTCCTCCTACAATGAAAGCTTATAAGGGCAGGGACTTTATTTGTGTCTTTCACTGTGTACCACCAATACCTGTCCTATGGCAATAAATAATTTTGAATGAATGAATAAATAAATGATCAGTGGCAAAGAAGTCTACAGAAAGGACAGCTAGAATAGCTGATCAGTTAATTTCTCTCTGGGGCTTTCCTTCACTGCCTCCTGCAGGCCAGAGCTTCTGAGTCCATGACAAAGAGATTATTTCCACATCTCAGATGGCACATGGGCATGGCTTGGGATTGTGGTGCTTATTTCCATGTGTGACCTCCCCAAGCACATGTGTTGGCTTTCTGCTGAAGCAGGATCTCTTATGGTGCTAAGGTGGTCATCAGAAGATCCAGGTTTAAGCCCTACCCATTTAGCAACCCCAGCAGAAAGAGAACACACCTTTTTACCTGATCCCAGAAAAATTCGATAGCCTAATTTTCATGGATCCAACTTCAATCATGTGTCTATTCCAGAGTCAGTCACTGTGGTTCTGATTGTTCTGCGTTAGGAGTGAGGCTGGGGTCGGGCTAATTCAGACCATACAGGTTGAGAGCGGAGAGGTGGTTCTCCAAGGAAAAATCCAGATATTCATGAGAGGGAAAGTAGATAGTGGGCAGTCAAAAACCACAGAAATCCTTTAGAGGTGCTTCACTTAGTGGGGCGTTTGGGGACTGGGGTAGGCCCAAAGACATATTCTATTCTATAGGAAGTAGAACTTTAGTAAAAAGCTGTATACCCAGTGTCTAGGTGATGGGAGGTTTATCCAAGTGGTGCTGATTATAATCCCAAAAGACATAGTCCCCAATCTCATAATCGTGAATGTTGAGATCTCCAAAGTCTAAAATCCCACAAATCACAATCCTGAAAGATTAAATTCCTGAATGTTGAAATCCTGAAAGCCAAATTCTGGGGAAGGGATTAGTGTGTTTTTGGTTGTATGCTGGATAGTTGCATCGTGGTAGGTGGACCTATTACCTTGCTATTGTCTTTATTTGGAAATTAAATATGGTTTAAGGAGATGAGTATGAGTGCCAACCTGACAAGAGGTGGATTTGTGGACTTAATTTTAGATGTCAGTTTGACTGGATTAAGGAATTCCCAGAAACATGGTAAAGTGTTATTTTGGATGTGTCTGTGAGGATGTCTCCAGAGGAGATTAGTATGTGAGTCTGAGTGGAGCAGGTCGGGAAGATCTGCCCTCAGTGTTTCAGTGCTTCAAAGATCATAGAGTAAGTGAAAATGCAGGTGAAAAATACAAGAGATCTCCTCTGCCAAATTATTTGATTGTGTATAATTTATGCCCCTTCACATATAACACCATCCTTGCCTTCAAGCATGTGACACCCTTTGTCAGAGAATTAAAAGAATTTGACAAACTCAGCAACCTTCTGAACCAGACATTTGCTGATATTGAGATTCCTCCAGTGTTATAACCACCTAAAATGGTGAACTATTCTTGGTTAAAGATTTGACTGTCAAGAAAGATAGACTTCTTATATTTACCACTAAATCTAACATAGAAAAACTAGTGCATGTTCCACTTTGGCTATTGGATGGCACTTTCAAGACTGTCCCCACTTTTTAAAATCAATGATATACAATTCATGCCCCTGTTGGATCTGGAAATTCTAAAACTTATCTGCTTCTTTATATATTAATGACTGGAAACAAATGAAGTATTTTATAATCACTTATTTGGAGATTTGGTGGACTGTGCAGAAGAAAATGGATTTCTTTGAATCCCCAACCCAAAATGACAGGTTTGGAATTAAGTGTAATCGAAGCTTCTAAAAGTGAACCTGAAAGAGTTATCAATAAAGTTTTTTTTTTTTTTTTCATGTAGTCCAACACATGTGGCAGAAATTCAGATGAATGGATTGGCCATGTGATTAGGCAATGGCAGAAACTTGAGTTTAAAAATTAATCATTTCATGATCCTACACCCAGAAAACCTTAAAGATTTATCCAAAAGACTTCTAGACTTGAGAAACGACTTCAGTAAAGTTTCAGGATACAAAATTAATGTTAAAAAACCAGTTGTGTCTCTATACATTATCAATACTGAAGCTGAGAAACAAGAACTCAGTATCATTTACAATTGCCACAAAAAACTAAAATACCTAGGAATACATTTAACGAAGGAAGTGAAAGACCTCCACAAGGGGAACTACAAAACACTGATGAAAGAAATCATAAATGATGCTAACAAATAGAAAAACATTCCATGTTCATGTAAAGGAAGAATCAATGTGTTAAAATGACCATACTATCCAAAGCAATCTACAGATTCACTGCCATTCCTATAAAATTACCAACATAATTTTTCAAATAATTAGAAAAAACAGTTCTAAAATTCATACAGAATCAAAAAAGTGTCTGATTAGCCAAATTAATCCTAAGCAAAAAGAACAAAGCTGGAGTCATCATGTTACCCAACTTCAAACTACACTGCAAGGCTACAGTAATCAAAACAGCATAATACGGATACAAAAACATGTCCATAGATTAATGGAACAGAATAGAGAACCCAGAATTAAAGCCACACACCTACAACCAGCTGATCTTTGACAAACTTGAGAAAAACAAACAATGGAAAAAGGACACCCTATTCAATAAATGGTGCTGGGAAAACTGGCTAGCTATATGCAGAAGAGTGAAACTGTGTCCCCTTGTTTCACCATATACAAAAATTAACTCAAGATGGGCTAAAAACTTAAATGTAAGACCTGAAGCTATACAAATTCTAGAAGAAAACCTACAAAAAACTCTTCTGGGCATTGACTGAGGCAAAGAATTTACGACTAAGACCTCAAAAACAAATGCAACAAAAACAAAAATAGACAAATGAAAATTAAGCTAAAGAACTTTGCACTGCAAAAGAAACTATCAATACAGTAAACAGACAGCCTGCTGAATGGGAGAAAATATTTGTAAACTATACATGTGACAAAGGACTGATGTCTAGAATTTATAAGGAACTTAAACCATTCAACAAGAAAAAACAATTCCATTAAAAAATAGGCAAAGCTGGGAAGTCTCCCCAGGAGGTTTAAGGCTACAGTGATTGCACCATTGCACTTCAGCCTGGGTGACAGAGTGTGAGACCCTGTCTCAAAAGGAGAAAATGAATAAGGACGTATTCATAAAAATATATTCACACAAAGGACATGAACAGCCACTTCTCAAAAGAAGACATACAAGCAGCCAACAAACATATGAAGAAGTGTTCAACATCACTCATCATCAGAGAAAAGCCGATTAAAACCACAATGAGATACCATCTCATATCAGTCAGAATAGCTATTATTGAAATAAAATAACAGATATTGGCAAGGATGCAGAGAAAAGAGGATGCTTATACACTGTTGATGGGAATGTAAGTTAGCTCAACCTCTGTGGAAAACAAGATGGAAATTTCTCAAGGAGCTAAAAATAGAACTACCATTCAACCCAGCATTTCCACTACTGGGTATCTACCCAAAGGAAAAGAAATTGTTTTATCAAAAAGACACCTTCACTCATACGTTTTTCGCAACACTATTACAATAGCAAAGTCATGAAATCAACCTAAGTGTCCATCAGTGATGGATTGGGTAAAGATAATGTGGTATGTATACACCACAGAATACTATGCAGCCATAAAAAGAATGAAATCATGTCTATCGTAGCAACGTGGATGGAACTGGAGGCCATTATCCGAAGTGAAATAACTCAGAATCAGAAAATCAAATACCATGTGTTCTCACTTATAAGTGGGAGCTTAACAATGGGTATACATGGTCATAAAGATAGAGAGAATAGACACTGGGGCCTCCAAAAAGGGGGGTTGGGAAGGTGTTGAGGATTAAAAAACTACCTATGGGGTACTATGTTCACTATTTGGGTGACGGGTTCACTAGAAATCCAAACCCCAGTATTACACAACATACTCATGTAACATACCTGCACATGTACCCCCTGAATCTATAATAAAAAATTAAAAGATAAAATAAAAAGGTTTTTTTAAAGGAAAAAACTAAACATGAAAAAAGTGTCATTTGTTTGCATTAGCATTCCTTACAGCTGCTGAAATTCCAGGAGCGTTTAATAAAGCTGCATCTGCCCAAAGAGATCGTGATTTTACTGACTAGTTCAAAAATAATTATAGGATACATAAGATAAGATGTTGTTGCTATTGAATCATCAGTATTGTTTCTGCCAACTTTGGTGTCTGTATATGAGCACGTGTGGAATGGATTTCCCTATACCCAGAACAACATAGAAGTATGGCACAGAAAAGGGGAAAATGTAATAGGGAATACTCATATGAGTATATATTGAATCACAGAATAATTTTAAAAAGAGCAGTGCATGTAGAAAATGAATATGAACGTATTCTCCAAGGAGAGCCCTAAAAGAAAAAAAGCAACTATTTACTATGATGCAAGACTTCAAAATATAGTTAACGATCATAAATGCCTGCCAGTTCTTATGGACTACCTCTGTGTAATTGCCCATAATCTATCTCATACATGTTTTTAACATGTTGAATTTCCTTCTTAGCTTTTTTTTTTAGTGCCCCCCACACTATTTTAAATTGTAAGTGCTACTTTTTACAATTCACTATATTATGTGTTTCATCTTTGCATCAATTTTAATGCTGGAGATACACATTGTGTAAAAACTTTTATAGAGTTCTAATTCATTTCATGCATTTTGTGCAAATTTGACTTCATGAAAATGCATTGTCACAACACTGACTTTGTGTGTAAGCATTGTGGATTTACATAACAACATTGAAACTTCATCAATGAATGAAGAGATGTCCTTTTTGTTCATCTGTATTTGTGAAAGATAATATTTCTTGATATCTTGGTTCTTTGGGTAACTGCGCATAGAGTGGTGTCCCACAATGGTTGTTTTTTGCTTGTTTTTTTGAGACAGGTTCTCATTCTGTTGCCCAAGCTGGAGTGCAGTGGTGCAATTATAGTTCACTCTTACCTCAAACTCCTGAGCTCAAGGGATCCTCTTACCTTAGCCTCCAAGTATCTAGGATTACAGGAGTGCACCATCACGCCTGGCTAATTTAATTTTTTTTTTTAATAGAGACAGGGGTCTTGCTGTGTTGCCCAGGCTGGTCTCAAGCTCCTGGCCTCATGCCATCTTCCTGAGTCAGCTTCCCAGAGCACTGAGATTATATGCCTTAGCCACTGTGCCTGGCCCCATCATGCTTTTTGATTGATTTTGTCAAAAGGCTTAGGTTGTACATTGCTGTATTTCAGATGACTGAAATTATAAAGCAGAGTGCACACAATTGCCAAACATAGTGATATGCATTTATACATATCACTTTTTGAGCTATTTCTTTATGAATATGGTTTCCCTGCTCATATTATACCCATGTGACTTTTGCTAGTATACCTGACTGTTTATGCTTGCAAAAATATGTATATTGTTTTTGCCCAATTCATTGTGTAAAATGGCCAATGAAGTGTTCTCTCATTTTTACATTTCTCAAATAAATCTCCATTTAAAAATTTAAGTGCCTTTAAAATAATTTTTTTTACAATTTTTTTTTCAGAATTATAGTTTTGGAATTTTAATTTTTGGGATTGCGATTTTGAGGTTTTTAGACTTAAGGGATTATGATCTTTCAGGATTTTAACACTTGAGATTATGTCTTTTGCGATATGGTCCTAATCTATCCATAGCACCCAGCATAATACTTGGTATGGAAGTTGGTGAACAGTACTGATGGACTGAAACGGAAAAGTGAAGGGCAAGTGTGTCTGTTTTGTTGTAGAATGGGGACTCCCTTCTTCAGCACATTTTTCTTTTCCTCTAAGACTATTTTCTGTTTGTAGCTCTTATTAAAGGTGCTGGAAGTGCTCGATCCTGACCGGAAGCTGGAGGACACATGGGCTTATTGTCAGGACACCAGGAAAGGAATGAAAGAACCCACAAAGCTTTTTAAAAAACGTTCTACCCAAGTCTACCTGGGACCGTGAGTATTGTTCTTAACCCTTTGATCATTGCTGTCACCTGATGAAACATTCTAGGAATTACCTTCTTAAAGTTTCTCATCTTTAGAATAATTCTAATGAAGAAAATATAACTAAGTTCCCAAGGAAGAGGGAAAGGAGTCCTAGGTACCATTCTAAATAGTGCTTATTTCTTCAATGGATGTGATTTATCCAGCAACGATGCAGACACAGGTGTCTATAAGGAAATTCCAGAGAGAGTCCCTCCCTATGCTTGAGGGGTAGAAACAGCGAAAGTCAGAAAATCCTTGATTTTGAGGCAGCTTCTACAGCTTTCCAATTTCCTTTAATTCAAAAGTGCTCAGCATACCAAAGCACCATAGTTTTGGGGTTTCATCCTTTGTACCCCAAGAAATGTTACGGCTAGAGGGCAGTGAAGAGATCACAACTCACTGCAGCCTTGAGTTCTGGACTCAAATGATCCTCCTACCTCAGCCTCCTGAACAGCTAGGACTTCAGGTATGTACCACCATGCCTGACCTAAGCCTTTTTTCTGAGCATAGGTCTACTGCTTGGAGTTTCCACCTATCTTTTTTTCTTAAACCATACCTGTAATACTACCTTCATTGACACTTCTCAAAGCATTAAGCTTAACGAAAGCATCTCCCTTTTGTAACACATTCTTGATTCCCCAGTCAATATAATATTTAATTAAATAACATAAATGCAGTGATAAGCATACTGGACACAAATAGATTTGGGATACACATGTTTTTTTGTTTCTTTTTGAGACAGAGTTTTGCTCTGTCGCCCAGGCTGGAGAGCAGTGGCACCATCTTGGCTCACTGCAACCTCTACCTCTTGGGTTCCAGCGATTCTTATGCCTCAGCCTTCCAAGTAACTGGGACTATAGGTGCTCACCACCACACCTGGCTAATCTTTGTGTTTTTGGTAGAGATGAGGTTTCCTCATGTTGGCCAGTCTAGTCTTGAACTCCTGGCCTCAAGTGATCTGCCCACCTCTTCCTTCCAAAGTGTGGAGATTACAGGCATGAGCCACTGGGTCAGGCCTACATTCGACTTTTGAAATTAAAGACCTCACTGATGGGTGCTGAAGAGTATGGTGAACTAGAGAGCAGCCTATCCACAGTACTCAGACACTTAGAGGGGTGTGGACCGTGGTCAGTGTGTTTTGTGGGGGCCATGTAGAGCTTTGTTGGTCACACACATTACCTACATGGAGGTGGATTTAGAGAGAATCCACTGCATTACATTGTATATGTTTTTTAGGGGAAGACACAAGGTGAGAGGAACTCTACTCTTAGGACATTTCTGGCTCTTCAGTCCACCACTTGGTAAAAATAGGAAGGGTAACTGGATGTGCTTCTCTCAGTTTTGCCTTTCTTCCATGAGGAGCAAGATGGCCCATGGGAAGCATAATTTCTCCTTGCTTCCCCATTCTAGAGGGGAGGACTGTCCTGGTCCAGCCCTGCAGGAGACTGGGTGGAAGTCTCTGCCAGTTTCTGGGTGTCAGTTAGCAAGTCCTCTTGGACCTAAAGCCATGTCGTCTATCATGGCTGCTGTTAGCAGTGAAGGGGATATTTTGGCTATTGTCTTTGCTCTCCATATTGTTTTTCAGGTTGCTCAAAACTTGGGTGGGGGAGCGAGAGGAATGTTGTATGTAGGGATCTGTGATATAATAAATATACTTGGTCTTTGTCCCCAGTTACTGACACAGGGCTCCTAAATCCCTTGGGATTTCCTGAGTGGTAAGAATGCTTTTTGTTATTCATAAGGAGCCCCTTTTAGTCACTGGAGAGTTTATGCTAATGAAGTGCTCAGGTTGGGGCACCTAGATTGTCTTAGAATGTGGCTGGTCACCAGAAAGACCAAGTGATTAGAGGGTTAGAATGTTCAGTCCCACTCAGTGTGACCTCTCAGAGGGGACAGAGGGAAGCATGGCTGGAGATTAAAAATTCTTGAACATATATTTGATGAACCTCCAGGTTGATGAACACCTCCAGGTCCTGGCAGGATGCAAGCGACACCAACTCCACCTCACCAGATAATCTCTCCTTTCCTTTAGAGCAAAATTTTTTGAAAGAGGCATTCATACTCACTCAGTCTTTTTCTCTCCGAACAGCAATCAGGCTCTTATCTCTACCACTCCACTGAACCTGACCTTAGCCAAGGTCACCATTGACCTCTATGTTACTTAATCGGCTCTCAGGGATCACCATACTTGATGTATACATAGTAGCAATTGACGTAATTGATTATGTCCTCTTTCTCCTAACACTTTCTTTACTTGGCTTCTGGAACATCCCTCTTTCATGGACCTCTCTGTAGTCATCTTTTACTGGCCACTCTTTACCTTTTAGCCTTGAAGTACTTTGGTCTTTGATGGCTTTTCAGCACATTTACTCACAACCAAGTGACCTCCTCTGGTCCATCTGTATATGGTTAATTCAATATTTGTCCTTGGATGTATACTTGGAATCTCCGACTACACAAACCCAAAACTGAACTCTTGTTTTCTCCCCTAAACTTATTCCTACTTCTGTCTTCCCCAGTTCAGTAAATAGGAACCCCATCTTTCCAGTTTTTTCTGGAACAATAGTTGCAATCTGCCGGCGAATGATAATGGTTTTACTTTTGAAATGTATCCAGAATCTCACCTTCTCCACTACTACCAGTCTATTCCAAGATTCCATCACCTCTTGCCTGGATTATTGCAATAGCTTACTAACTGGTCTCGTGACCTCCACCCAAACCCCCCTCTCTCAAGTCTGTCACACGGTAGCTGACATAATCTTTTTAAAAACATAAGTCAAGTCATGTCATTCCAGTGCTGGAGATTCTCCAATTGCTTATTTTTCTGAGAAAAATCCAAAGTCCTTACAACTGCCTTCAAAGTACTATATGATTAGGTCCCTGTCACCTCTCAAGCCTCATCCTCTGCCGTTCTACTCTTTAATTACTCCTCTCCGTGGGACTTTGTATTCTTCAAACATGCTCAGCATGCTCCCAGCTCAGGTCTTTGCACATGCCATTCTTGTCTGTCTGTTATCTGCATGACTTGACATTTACATGGTTTGACCCCTTTCTTCTTTTGGGTCTTTGGTCAAATATTACTTTAATAGAGACAATTTTTCTGTATAAATAAAATGCTCCCTACCATCACTCTCTGTCCCTCCTGTCCTATTTTGCTTTCTCTATGTCACTTATAATCACCTGGCATATGTTTGTTTACTATCTATCTGTCTCTCCTATTCAATTGTATACTCTATGAAGACAGGGGCTTAACATTATTTACAATTCAATTCTAATGCCTGGCACATAGTTGGTGCTTACTGAATATTTGTTGAATTAATGGATGGATAAATTAATATGAGTGTTATGAATAAAAGGTACAGGGGCTATGAATAAAAAGTAGGCTCAGGGGACAGCCTGTGGGGATGCCTCCCTGAGGAAGGCACATGTATGTTGACACATGAAGGGGATAAGGAAATGGTGACAGCATTGCAGTCAGGTGGAACAGCTCAAGCAAAGGCCTAATGGCTGGAGGGAGCAGCATGAATTCACAGAACTGAGAGAAGGCCATATTGGCTGGAGCTCAGAGAGTAAAAAAGGGTGGTGGATCCCAAAGAACCTGGAGAGCTAGGCCATGCAGAGTGTTAGAGGTTGTGTTAAGATTTAAGTCTTTATTGGAGGAATAGCAAGAGGCTGTTGAACACAAAAGCTTGTTCATGAATGTCCATAGCAGCATTGTCTTTAACAGGCATAAAGTGGCAACAGCCCAAATGTCCATCACCTGCATATATTTGTGAACGGATAAACAAAAAGTGGTCTATGTAGACAATGGAATATTGGCCACAAAAAGAAATAAACTACTAATACATGCTACAACATGGATGAGCCTTGAAAACATGATGCTAATTGAGAGAAGCCAGACACAAAAGACTACATGTTGCATGGTTCCATTCAGATGAAATATCCAGTATAGACAAATCTACAGAGACAGAAAGGTAGGTTAGTTGTTGCCAGGAAGGAACAAGGGAAGTGGGGAAATGGTGAGTGATTATTAATGGCTACGGGGTTTCTTTCAGGGCAATAAAAGTGTTCTGGAATAAGATAGTGGTGGTGGTTGCACAACTTTGTGACTATGAAAGGGTACTCTCAAACACTTTTGAAGTGGTACATTTTATTAATTTCATGGTGGATGAATTATATTTCAATTTTTATAAAGAAGCTATTGATGGTGATGAAGGGTGGCTGATTTGATATGTCCAGAGCTACATTTTGAAATGACTGCTTGGGCTGCAGTGTAGGGAATGGATTGGGGGTTGAAGGTTGGGGGAGCCATAGGAGTTGATGATGCAGAGACACTAGCATTTTGCTGCAGTCCAGAGGGAAGGAGACAGTTGCAATCTGCCAGACTTTAACTGAGCTGGATTTTAGGAATGATAGAGATATCAAGGATGACTCCTACTTGTCAAGGTTGCCTGAGGCTTTGGTAGACTTCAAGCACAGTAATTTGGGCTTTTACCCAGTACATGTTTTAATAAATGGTACTCAAAATTTAAAAAATCAACTTATAATGGTAAAATGCTATATAAGTTTTAATTATTATAACTAATCATGATATAATTGTCTTTGTGATATTGGTAATGAGAATGTGCTCTTTGAAAAATTAAAATATAATTTGTATGTGAGCCTGCAAGAGACTGTCAGAAATACTTGCTTTGGTTGGGTGTGGTGGCTCACGCCTGTAATCCCAGCACTTTGGGAGGCCAAGGCAGGCGGATCACGAGGTCAGGAGATCGAGACCATCCTGGCTAACAAGGTGAAACCCCATCTCTACTAAAAATACAGAAAATTAGCCAGGCGTGGTAGTGGGCACTTGTGGTCTCAGCTACTCGGGAGGCTGAGGCAGGAGAATGGTGTGAACCTGGGAGGCGGAGCTTGCAGTGAGCCGCCACTGCACTCAAGCCTGGGCGCCACTCCACTCCAGCCACTGCACTCCAGCCTGGGTGGCAGAACAAGACTCTGTCTCAAAAACAAAAAACAAAAACAAAACAAAACAAAAAAGCCAAATACTTGCTTTATGATTTCCTTTTGCCTCCAAAACTGTTTGAAATCCATTTAGATTCATTGTGTCTCATATTGTAATTCTTTAATGATCTTATTATCTTTAGTTCCAAGCAGACTTCTGTGTCAAATGCAAGCCAATGGCTTTATGAAGAAAAGCCACATAAAATGGATTTGCTCCATGAAAACGGTCCTCGTCCTGGTCTTCAGGAAAATGTTCACAGAGCAGTTAATGACTTCTGCAACTGGGTTACTACTTTTGTAAGTTAGTGGTAATACTTAAACCTACTTTTAAATGTCAAGCTCAAAGTTGCTTTTATTAAAAAACAGTATTGAATAAAATCTAAGTCAAATCCTCAAAGTCATAAAGGAATCATTTTCTTCTATTATATATAAATAGAAATATTTCTGGTATATGAAATTTCTGGAGAGTTTGCAAACTTGTGGCTAATTTGAATGTTTATGTTTACATCTCACATCATTACTGTTGTTTCATATTTTTATTTTCCATTTTAATGTCAGGACTTTCTTTTCTCTCACTCCTTAAACTCATTTTTCTCAGTTAGATTTATCTAGAAGTACTCTGGCAGGTACTCCTTGATTATAACCTTCACACAAAAATGTTCTAACATGCCAGGCACGGTGGCTTATGCCTGTAATCCCAGCACTTTTGGAGACTGAGGTGGGTGGGTCGCTTGAGCTCAGGAGTTTAATACCAGCCTGGGCAATATGGCAAAACCTTGTCTCTCTTGTATTTTTGTAAAAAATATGAAAGTTAGGCCGGGTGCAGTGGCTCACGCCTGTAATCCTAGCACTTTGGGAGTCCAAGGTGGGTGGATCATGAAGACAGGAGTTCAAGATCAGCCTGACCAACATGGTGAAACCCCGTCTCTACTAAAAATATAAAAAAATTAGCTGGGTGTGGTGGCGTGCACCGGTAATCCCAACTACTCAGGAGGCTGAGGCAGGAGAATTGTTTGAACCCGGAGGCAGAGGTTGCAGTGAGCAGAGATTGCACCACTGCACTCCAGCCTGGGCAACAGGGTGAGACTCCGTCTTAAAAAAATAAAAATAAATAAATAAAAATTAGCTAGGCATGGTGGTGTGCCCCTCCCACACAGGAGGCTGAGGTGGGAGGATTGCTAGAGCCTGGGAAATCGAGGCTGCAGTGAGCTGTCATCATGCCACTGTACTCCAGCATGGGCAACAAAGCAAGACCCTGTCTCAAAAAAAAAAATCTGACATAAAGAGACTTTTGACTCAGTTATCAAGGTCTTCCCTTGTGCTCCTTCCAAGACCTATATAGTCACCTATTCCAGGAGTTCCTGAGTCTCTGTAGATGTCTAAATACCTGATGCTTTTCTCGGATTTAAGGTCTTTAGGATTTGCATTCCATGTCCCCACCCCATCTTTTGAGTGTTAGTTTTAGTCAATGTATTTTTTTAGTACTTTTAAACATCAAGCTACTTACTTCATTGGCAAGTGACTGAAATATAATTCAGATTGGTTTAAGAGAGAAAAGGAAAGCATCCAGATATAGTAGGAACTTCAGGCACAGCTTGATCCAGGTGCTGAAATATTTTTAGATGTTGTTCCTATCTCTCGGTTGTTGCAAGATGGACTTCTTTCTCAATCAATATTTCCCCAAGAAATGGCAAAAGTCGTCACTAAAATTTCCAAGCTTATATCCTACAAGCGAGCAACCTAAGTGTGAAGACAGCAGTGCTTTTCCATCGGGGAAAAGTCCAGGGATTACTCTCACTGGACTAACTTGGGGCACGTGCTTGTGCTTGAACTAACCATTATGATTAAGGAGATGGAATATGCTTATTGGCTAGGCCAGGACGCACACCTAACCCTGAAGCCAAGAGTGGGGGTGTCCAGTCCAACTGCAACAGAGTGAGAGTGAGGGACAGAGACTCCTCAGATGGTGACTGGAGCGGGGATGCTGGACGAAGCAGACGACGCCCAGTATGCCTGGTATCCAAATCACTGCTTGTCCATAATCTGTTCAGAGTGGACTGCCTGATTTCCAGAGTCCACTTCTCCTATTCCTGCTGCTGGAGGCGATTCCTGTCTCAAGGCAAGAAACTTAAGGAATCTTAGAATAAGAGCTTAGCTTCTCTGGTAACTGCCTTTAGTTTCAGACCCTGTGACCAAGCTCCCATCTTTACTGACATCCCACGAGCTAGGTCCCTGTCTCATCACCCTGCGGAATTTTCTTCACAGCACTGGCTTGTGCTTTTCCTTCCATTCTGTTTGTTTATTTTTCACCTCATTGATTCTGCTTGCTTTATTTCTGCTTCATTATTACTTTAGCTTCCTTTTGCCTGTACTTGTCCCTTTATGTCCCTGACTCTGTTTCATGACTCCTCTCTATAAATTTTACTCCAGTCACAGTGCCAGCTGCTGGTGACTTCGTTCTCTGTGTTTTCCAGTTTCTATTTTCCAGTGTGAGATTCTATGGAGTCTAAGATCTTTTAGCCTTGAGCCATATCATAGGTAAACACTCAGCATACAGATTAGCTACTCTTAATGTGCCCATCTCTACTCCCACCAGCTGTAGCTGAGGGAAGGAAATGGTGAAGGTTGTTCTGTGTACAGAATGCAGCTGACTGAAACCACCTCCTTCAGCAGGAGCTGTGAACCTGGCAGCTTCCCTTATACAGAGTTATGGGCAGAGAAAACACTGCCATATCTACACAAGTCTGGAAAACACTTCTAGAGATGCCACCACTATAGAGTGCTGAAGAAGTTTGCTATCGATCAAACTGAATTTCCCTCAGGGACTCACTGCTTCTTGCAAAGTCCTAAGCTGTCTTTTAGTGACAAAGCCCTCCAAATCCAAACACTTCTTGTCTTCAGTGAATGCTGACTGAGCATTTTCCACCTCTCCCCAAGCTACCTCTTTCCCCAGCAATGGCCAACTACCTCCCTTAGATTAAAAAAGAAAGCAAGGAGCATTTCACCGATTGCCCTCAATTCATGCAATGTGATATTCTTCCAGGGAATTTCAGACATTGATGAAGAGTTCATCTTGAAACAGTTTGACATTGACTATGAGACCAAACCAAGCCATGATGCGCTCCACACAATGAAGCCAAATCAGGTTGCTCTGGAGCTAAAGCGTAGTGTGGGGCTCAGTAAACTGCAGGAGCCAACGTTCTTCCAGAAAACAGGCTATGAGAGGAAACTCCAGAAACCACAGGTAATTGCAGAAGGAGACCAGTCCGAAAATCAAAGAAAATTAAGTTGTATTGAAGTCTTAAAGTTCTTGAATTCTGGTGTGTCATGGGTACTGGTTTTTTAAAGTAGAATTCTTGAATTTTTTTCATGATTAATATTTGTTAAACAAATGCATGTTTAATACCTATAATAAAGTCAGTTATACAAATGAGGCATATCATTTGGGATTATTTTTCATACCTGAATAGTCATTTTCAGAGATAATTTGTTAGGTGTTTTATATGTTGAAATACTAAAAGTCAGTAGAAATATACATGAATGGTTATTATTGCAAGAGCAAAATGCTGCAATTAATTATTGTGAATGCTGTTAATAGTATGTCCAAAGAATTCTTGAATTTTTGCTGGAGTCTTGTTGACCACAAACCATCATTCTTGACCACATGCTTGCCTAATGATTAACAGGTTTCCTCAGCACCAAGTTTCTGTAAAGATGGAAGAACAAGGTAACAGAAAGGAGAAATAACATGCCATGTTCCAAAGGGAAGTACTATGGGCCCCTAAACTACTATTTACTTTTCTACACAGTGTGTCACTGCAAATATATATACACAAGTCAAGTTATGTGAGTCAACAACAGATTTAAGTGCCTAAGTTGGAGGGGAGAGCCCTTCCCTGAAACTGAAAAACAATATTTTATCTCTAATTGTCTTCTGCCTTTTACACATAAACTTTGATATTATACTTCCAATCTTTGGGACATATTAATTTTGTCCTTTACAGTTGAACACATTTGCCAACCTATTTTGACACACATTATGTTTCTATCCTTGACTCTATTGCATAAGGTTTATGAAAACTATGCATTTCATCATGAATATCAGCACTTTTATTTTTCCATTTTCCTTTCATCTTTCTAAAAGGTAAAATGCAAAATGGTATTAGACAGGTAAGTTATGTCCATCACACCTGAGGCCTGAACCACTGCTTGTCCTGATTCTGGGCTGAATAAAATTGCTCAATTCCCTGTATGTAGAAATAATTATGCAAACACTGCTTTATAAACCATGGAAGTTATTGCCAAAATTGAACCTTTGACTGGCAAATGGAGGGTCACTATACAAAAGTTGAAACTTTATTTCCACATAGTATCTTTTTTCTTCTGACTAGAAGACTTCTTTTAACATTCCTTCCAGTGTGGATCTGCTGGTGATGAATTCTTTCAGCTTTTGTATGTCTGCAGACACCTTGTTCTGCCTCATTTAAAAAGATTCAGTGGTCACCTGTTGTCTGTTATCTGTAGGGGTTATGTTTCAAGATCCTCCAGTAGATGCTGAAACTTTGGATAGTATTAACTCCTATATATACTGTTTTTTGATCTGATAATAGGCGGTTACTGAGTGACTAAGGGTGGGTAGTGTGTACAGTGTGGATACTCTGGACGAAGAGATGATCATATCCCTGGAGGAATGGAACAAGGATGGCTTGAGATTTCATCGTGCTACTGAGAATGGCACACAATTTAAAACTTATGAATTGTTTATTTCTAGAATTTTCCATTTAATACTTCAGACCATGGTTGACCACAGGTAACTGAAAATGTAGAAAGTAAAATCATGGATAAGGAGGAATTTTGTATTTTGTGGGAAAAGAATTCTAGTTCAAAGTTAATTCACAGTTTTAAAAATTTCAGTAAAGATATTGCTTTCCTGTCTTCTTGGTTGTACTGTTTCTAGGAGAAATCTTACAACATCCTCATCTTTGTTTTTTTGGGATGTGCTTTTTCCTTGGATGCTTTTAATATTTTCTCTTTGTCACTGGTTTTGAGCATTTTGATTATCATAAACCTTGGTGTATCTTTCTTCATGTTTCATGTACTTGTGGCTTGTTGAGCCTCTTGGATTTGTGGGCCTATAGTTTTCATTAAATTTGGAAAATTTTGGACCATATTTCTTTAAACTTTTTTTGTTGTTGTTTTTCAATCCCTTCCCAGAACTCTGATTACCTGTAATTAGGCCACTTGAAGTTGTTTTACAGTTCACCAGCTCTGGTCAGCTTTTAAAATTCTCTTTTCTTTTTGTGTTTCTATGGCTATGTCTTTAAATTCTCTATTTTTTTTCCCTGCAATGTCTAATCTTCCGTTAATCCCGTGTAGTATTTTTTTAGAATCTCTTATGTTACAATTTTTATCTCTAAAAGTTTAGCTTAAGTCTCTTTAATTTATATCTTCCATGTCTCAGCTTCACCTTTTGCACATAAAAGCATAGTTATAACAATTGCTGTGATGTCATTGTTTACGGATTCTAACGTCTGCATCATTTCTGTGTCAGTTTCCATTAGGTGATTTGTCTCCTCACTGTGGGTCATACTTTCTTGCATCTCTGTGTGCCTGGTAGTCTTCGATGGATGCTAGGCAGTGTTACTTTTATCTTACTGGGTGTTGAGTATTTGTATTCCTATAAATATTCTTGAACTTTGTTCTGGGATGCAACCAAGTTACTTGGAAGTTTGATCCTTTGAGCTTTGCTTTTAAGATTTGTTGGGGTTGGGTGCAGTGGTTTATGACCGTAATCCCAGCATTTTGGGAGGCCAAGACAGAAGTATCACTTGAAGCCAGGAGTTCGAGACCAGCTCGGGCAACATAGTGAGACCCTGTCTCTACAAAAAAAATTTAGAAAAGAAATTAGCTGCTTATGGTGGCATGTACATGTAGTCCTAGCTACTTGGGAGGCTGAGGCAGAGGATTGCTTAAGCCTAGGAGTTCAAGGCTATAGTGAGCTATAATTGTGCCACTGTACTCCAGTCTGGGTGACAGAGTGAGATTTTTGTTTCTATTTAAAAAAAAATTTTGTTGGGAAAGACCAAAGTAATATGGGGTAATTATTCCCTACTATTGAGGCAAGACCCTTCTGTGTTTTCTGCCTAGTGTCCTGTGGATCTTTAGGTTTCCCAGGAGGAGGAAGGCACTGTTCCTGGCCCTGTGAAAGTGCTGGACACTTTGCCCTCTTTTCCTTTTGGTTGGTTCTTTCCCTGACCGTGGATAGTTTCCTCCCGCACATGCACAAAGGGGTACCCTCTGAAATCTCCTGGAGTTCTCTCTCTGTACAGCTCTTTCTTTTCTGATACTCTGTGCTGCAAACTTTCTCTGCTTTGATCTGTCTGGACTCTTGGTCCTGTCCTCTCAATTCAGAGAGTCCATTGGGCTCCTCCTGGGCTCTGCCTGAAGGCAGTGAGCTAGGGCAGTCGTGGGGCTTATCTTGTTTGTCTCTCAAAGATCACTATCCTTGGTTACCCCATGTCTTGTGTCTGGCATAGTATTAATTCATGTATTTTTTCTTGTGTTTTTGATTGTTGAAGGTGGCGGGGTAAATCTGGTCCCTATTCTGGAAGTCCTTGTCTTTATTTTCTGGGCATCCCTGTCTTTATTTTCTGACTCCACAAACCCTCAGGCCTTCTAAACTGTGGTCTTTAGTGTATGAGCTTTCCTGCCACCTTAGCTTTGCTCATAGTATTCTCGATTCCTGGAGTGCCCTCCTCTCCATGTCCATAGGTTCTATCTTCCTTTAGACCCAGGAAATATGCTGATTTTTCCATGGAGCTTTTCTCGGTCCCTTGGTTGACATTAATTTGTTCTTACTTCTAATCTCTCACAGCAATCTGTGCCTCTATTTTATATATCTTTCTTTGCCCTCTATATTAATTGATCAATTTGTGTATGCATTTATTCAAAAACAGTAGTAGGTTTCTGAGCACCTACCACTATGTGTCCAAAAGTGCTGGGAACAAATGAAGCAAAAATAGAGGACTGCCTCCTGCACTTATGGAGATTACAGCCTAGTGGGGTCAACAGGTAAATGATTATAGCGAAATAATGTCATGGTGTGTTCAGGACATAGGAAGAGGTAATCAATTCCATCAAGCACGGAGTGAGGGCATGTTTACGAAGGTATCACAGAAGGAATTATGTTCATCTTGAGTCTGGAAAGATCACCAGTTACCCAACAACATAACATATTCCAGAATTCAAGTTCTTCAGTGTGGCAGTAATGTAGATTCCATTCCCCTCCTTCTCCCCTTTCTTCCCCAATCTGTTTTCTTCCCTCTTTCATTTCAGTGGTTCATATCTGAGGGCAATTTGCCCCCTTTCCCCCACCTCAGGGATATTTGGCAATATCTAGAGATGACATTTTTGGTTGTCACCACTTGGGGGATGCTATTAGAATCTAGTGGGTAGAAGCCAGGAATGCTGCTAAACATCCTATGATGCATGGGACACACACACACACACACACACACACACACCACTCCCCTACATACAAAGGGTTCTCCAGTACCAAATGTCAGTAGTGCCAAAGTTAAGAAACATGACTTTCATTTGGCAAATACTTATTAAGCACCCATTATGTCCTAAGTATTGTTTAGATGCCAGGGAGATGTAGCTGGGAATAATTTCCGAAGCTTATATTTTAGAGGACGAGAAGAGAGACAGACAAATGATCAGAAAATATATAGCATAGAAATGGTGATGAGGGTCATTAAGTAAAGTGGAGCAGAGAAAGAAGGCAAAGAGTGTTGGGAGGGGGGATTCCTTTTTTTCTTTTTTTTTTTTTTGGAGACAGAGGCTCACTCTGTCACCCAGGCTGGAGTGCAGTGGACTGATCCCAGCTCACTGCAACCTCCGCCTCCTGGGTTCAAGCGATTCTCCTGCCTCAGCCTCTAGAGTAGCTGGGACTACAGGCATGCGCCACCACACCCAGCTGATTTTGTATATTTACTAGAGACAGGGTTTCACCATGTTAGCCAGGCTGATCTCGAACTCCCGACCTCAGGTGATCCGCCCACCTTAGCCTCCCAAAGTGCTGGGATTATAGGCGTGAGCCACCACGCCTGGCCCAGGGTTACCATTTTTTAAATTGGATGGCCAGGGAAGATGCCACTGAAAAGATGACATGAAATAGGTAAAAGAGGAAGCCATGTGTGTGTCTTGGGGAAAAACATTAGAGTAAAGGGAACAGTGTGTGTAGAGGCACTGAGGCAGAAGCATGACAGGGGTGCTCTGGAAATAGCAAGGCAGTCTGTATGCTCGGAGCGGAGAGATCACAATGCTGAATCCAGCGCTGGAAGAGATTTCCCTCCTGTCTATTCTGTCCCATTCTCTTGTCGTGGAGCGTATCTGGCTGGACTCTAGAATGCCCCACACATTCCACCACACAGTTTAAATGTGCATGAGAGGAGACAGGGCCAGAATCTTTGTGGTTTCATGTTTCTAACACCCAAGAGTTAGACCCCCTTTTGTGATGCGACAGTGAGGGTATTGCATTCACAGTATCAGTCTATGAACCAACAAGAGGTTCTCCTAACGTCCTTGATGCACTGCTGAGGAATGGGGGAAAGAAGGGAATGAGATACGTTCATTTTCCTCTTTCTGTCTTCCAGTTAAAAAGGCAAGCGCTTGGCCGGGCGTGGTGGCTTACACCTGTAAGCCCAGCACTTTAGGTGGCCGAGGCGGGCAGATCACGAGGTCAGGAGATTGAGACCATCCTAGCTAACATGGTGAAACCCTGTATCTACTAAAAATACAAAAAATTAGCCAGGCGTGGTGGTGGGTGCCTGTAGTCCCAGCCACTTGGGAGGCTGGGGCAGGAGAATGGCGTAAACCTGCGAGGCAGAGCTTGCAGTGAGCCGAGATCACGCCACTGCACTCCAGCCTGGGCGACGGAGCGAGACTCTGTCTCAAAAAAAAAAAAAAAAAAAAAGAAAAAGAAAAAGAAAGAAAGAAAGAAAAAATTAAATAAGGCAAAAGCTTGGTGTTAGCAGTTTGATAAAACAATATTGTAGCATGTGCAAGGCTGAGCACCGTGCTGTGTTCATACTGTCTAATAACTTACTATTTTGATTGACTGAGTATTATTCAAGGTCTTTACCCTAGGGGAAAACATGTGATTTTTACATGATTTCTAGCTGCTTTACATACATTCTCTCCTTTAATCTTCACAACAGCCCTGTGGGGGTGTATACTATTGTTATCTCCATTTTACAGATGAAGAATTTATGTAATTTGATCATCTCACACCTACTGAGTGGGAGGAAAGCTGGATTTGAACCCTGGTCTGTCAAAATCCAAAGGCCGTGTTATTAACCACTGCATTCTTTTTTAAATCATGAACTTTAATGTTTACTTTGTAAAATCAAAGCATGCTGAAACTTCACAAAATACTTTGGCAAGGGCCAACCTAAATTCCAAAGTAATGATCTTGCTCTCCTAAGCTGAGCTTCAGATGTTTGAAATGACAAACAAACAAAAAATCAATGGCACTGGGAATTGTGTTACTCTCCATAGAATCCTTGTAAGCCAAAGTGGGTGAAGATGAGGTATGGAGCGTGGTATTTGAACCCCAAGTTGTGGAAAAAGCAAAGAGCAGACGAGCCTCTGGTTGACCCTGAGGTCTCACATAAAGCTCTAGAGGAGAATTTTAAAAAGGAGCTGCAGGAACAGGTATGTATTTATACTGAGATTCGATCATCTGAGCTTAAGATGACCACAGTGTGTCTGCCACCCTAGTACTGAACTAGACTCTGTGGCGTAATACAAAGGCTCCTGAAAGCCCTCCACCTTGCATATTGAATTCAGCAAGGAGAAAGCCAAGTCATGTTATGGAGAATATGTAATAAGCAAGACGTGGAATCTCCTGGCTCTGTGGTAGACGTGACATCTCTACTCATGGTATTTCAACATTTTTGGAACAATTTATTCCAAGGATAATTGTTCAAAGGGCAGTGTGACTTGGTAGGACCACCTCAGTGCCCAGAATAGATGTGATGTCATGAGTTCTCTTTGGGTAACAAAATGTGAAGCTTGTTTCCTATCAGCTATGGGTGAATGTCAAAACATTCAAAATTTCAGCCAGGAAATTTCTTTTAGGCAATTCATTCGAGTTGCAGGATCTGTCTGAGAGGAAAGGGACAAAGGTTAAGCACTGTTTGATATTACAAAGCAACAAACACAACAAGGATGTGCTCTAATTTTACTACAGATAAGCTCTGTGCCTGCTCATTTCTTGTGTAAAAGTAGCTAATGGAAAGAAGATACTCATTATAGCCCTGGAAATTTGGAAATATTGATGAAACACTTGCATAGTACTCTAAATGAGGATATTTGCAAACCTCTTCTCTTTTTCAACAGACCCCAAACTTCTCCCAGATAACAGATGTGAAAACACTTTGAGAAAGCAAAATACAATACGAATTAGACTTATTATTCATCAGTAATCACTCATCAATTGTCTTCTTCAGATTGGAAAGCTAAGACAGAAAGGATGGTCATTTTAATATTTTCCAGTACTGAATATAAATTCTTATTTTCAGGTGTGAGATATGACACAAATTTATGAGCACTACATGTTTATATAAGTCTCAAAATTATGTAAATAATGTTTGGCAGAATTTCTTAGTATGGTTTTTGGAGAGCCTAAGTTTATGTGATTTTAATATATAACATAAAGCTATTCCAGTTACACTTTTATTATAAAAGGTAATATCATTTTCTCAAATATTTAAAAAGAAAAATAGCTACAAACTTTTGCTTTAAGGTGTCTAGAGTTCTCTTTTTAAAAACATATTCTTAATGACTAAGTCTTAAAGACTTCAAAAGTTTTACAAAACATATTTCATTTTGATGACAAATGCTATAAAGATGTTTTCCAAAATGGTTACAGTGAGCGAATGAAGTAGTATTATTTAAATTTTGGAAATATAATTGATACAACTCATATAGTAAAAGATTGCTTATCAGGCAGTTTAGACACAGGAAGGATTCATAACAATGGAATTGTTCTACAATAATTTTTATAAATCACACCTTTTTAATGCCTGAGGAATGATTTACCTTATCAACTATAGGTGGTACCACTAGACTGTGGCACCCCAGTTTACAAGACACAGGCACTATAGGGTACTGGTAAGTACTATGACAACATGACTGTCTTTCTGGGGACTCATGAGTTTTGACTATTCTTGATAGATTTGGTTTGGAAGGTGAAATGGTCTTAAAGTACTGAATTGCAATTATGTAAACTTATGCATCCAATTTTTAAATTAAAATAAATGTAAAGAAAAACTAAAAAGATGCGTAAATATCACAGATGTTGGGACTGATCAAATCATTTTTGATTGTCATGTCCTTTGAAGTTAAGATCTATGATTTGTGGATATACTGTTAATCTTAACTAGGTTAGATTCCAGACATCATAGGTCAATAATTGTCTAATCGCTAAAATGTGTTGCCCATCCTTAATACAGGGATAAGGAAAAGGGTAGGGGAAGGAGAGAAAGCTGGACGTCTTTAAAAGCCTTCATATTCATCAACTCAGGAACATTACACACATATTCAAAAACAAGAAGGATATGGATTAAAATGAGATACTTTATAAAGAGCTAAATGCTTTTAATGAGAACAAATGCGAAATCAAGCTTCTGATGGCTGACCCCTTTCTTCTGTGGGTACTCTTTTAGGAGGAGTTACTTGCAGACCTTCACGGAACAGTTGCCTTTAAGGATTTCATTCTAAGCAGGGGCTACAGGATGCCACGTGTGAGTAAAGGGTTACTTCAGAAGGCCCTGCTGAGGGGCTTCGTGGCTCACAGTTGTTGATGGGAAGAGGTTATAACCCTGACAAACCCAAATAGTTCTTTCACAGGCACGTACCAAGACAGGCCCCTGGAAGAAAGGGCGTGCTTTTCCCCAGATGGGGACTCAGAGGTAGGATATGGCATTTTGCCCTTTTTGTTCTGCCTATTTGGTTTCTGCTACTGTCAGAGATACCATTTCCCTGCTGCTCTTTGACTCATCTTCCTTGGGTTTGGCCTCAATAGGAGGTCTATGTACAGGGCATGGACCTTGCAAATTCCAACTGTTACTCAACACCCTGAATTCTCTAGGATGTTTTCAAGTCTCTTTTACATCCTTGTCTAAGGACAGAGAGCTGTGGCTTGGGTTAGGACAAAATAGAGTTGGGATTTGCAATTTTATCATTGCACTATTAGCTCTGCCTCAAGTGGAAACGGGCTAAGGCAAAAGTTCACTTCCTGGGGAGCCTGGCCAGTGTCGTCTGCCTTTTTTTCCTTTCTTCTTCTCTGCCTCCTGGTTTCCCCTTACTAACTTGTAAAGCTGGCCCCAGCATCTCCACACAATGTGGTCCCCCTTTGGACAATCACTTGTAACAGGGGTGGGGTGGGAGGTTGGCAGAAGGGAACATGGAGTGGGAGGGCCTGCTGCCTCAAGCAGTGTGCCCAGATCAGCCCTGTTACTGTAGCAGGAGACAAGATGGGCATCTAGGGCTGAAGTCATAGCTAATAATGTCATGCATTTGTCCGCTGTCCTCTGTGTGCACGTACCTTGGGGTCTTTAGGGAACAGTGCAACTGAGATGGTCAGAAGTTCCTGGAAATGGGATATTTGATTTCTGTTTTTCCAAGAGTGATAGAACTAACAATAGCTGATACTGCTATTAAATAAATGTAGGACAAAGTTCAGAATCAGACCAGTTTCAAAGTTAAATCAGGCAAGTCTAGAGCATGAGATGGAGATTTGAGATTGAGAAACTCCATTATAGAACTGGTTTAGAGGAACTCCTTTAGTTTGAACATCAATACTAGGTCTGCTAGATATATTTAATATACTTATACAAATAACTGCCTAATCTGTATATGAGGCTTGCATAACTATATTTATATATAATATATCAAATATAAAATATGCATATATAGCTTTAATGTTACATAATTATGTGTTTACATGTCCATATTAGATATATGAAGATGTACTTCTGTGGTATATGTGTGTGTATATATAAATCCTTATTTGCTGTTGATATTACTCATTTTTGTATCTTAACATTTTTAGTGGCAAACACATTTCTTTTTTTCATTTTGATGTGTCTCCGTTGATTCAGTCCATGCTGTTGATGAACATTTAGTTCAGTTTTGGGCAAAAGGAAGCATGCCTGACACACTGGCTGTCCTCTTTTCAGTCACATTGACTAGAGAAATTATTTCCCTGGTCACAACAGAGTCCTCTGAGAACACCTGTCACTCAAAACCCTACAATATTTTGTCCCTTTATTCTTACATCCTATATTCTTATTTTATCAATAAGATTTCAACTGAAAGAGAGAAGGGACTCTAATACAGGGAATAAGATATATATGCATATACACACATAGAGTATATAAATATATATGTGTGTATACACAGTTATTTCTTACTTAAATCTATATGTGAACATTATTTTTTTAACCTCCTCTATATATATACATTCACATATGTTATGTGAACATACACACTTACCTACGCATTCCAGTATTTGCTGCTGGATTATCTACTTGATGCATCACCCACAGCCTCATTCCCTCTGCTACACAGATGGGTCCCAAGCCTTAGTAGCAGGGATGGGTAGCACAAGGCTATACTGAGCTGGGCTGGGCCAGACTTGGGCACAGAACAAGTGTGAATTCCATCTGCGTGTTTCTGATACTGTGTGACTACCTTCCAAAGACCAACATCTATCATGGTCGGATTATTAACATGTGATTTTGTGTAGTGTAAGGATATATATTAGAGTGTGAAATTTTGAGTTGGGTTTGGTAGTGATTGTGGGGAGGACTATACTGTACAAGTTTTGTTTGTCAGTCTAATGAAGGTTCTCTCATTTTTTTTTAGTTCCTTGAGAATATGTATATTGGGAAGGAATGTAAACGTGCATGTAATAAGACTCCTATAAAATGAACTGAAGCATAGAAGAATCGTAGGAGAATGATTAGGCAGATTTTATTACTACATACTTGGCTTTTTCTCTATCTCCTTTTAAAGATTAAACAGAATTTATGATGAGTGTCCCACTGTGGATGTTCAACTTTGACTTGGCAACATCTGTAAACATAGTACCTGATGGTTATAAACATTTCTCAGTGGATTTCTGCTTCAGTTAATCAACATTTTGTATACTTTATCACCTATGAGATCAATATTCACATGTAATCTTCTCACATTTTTGTAGCACTGTGAATATTATATAGGTATATCAACTATTTGTAAAAATAAATAAAGCCATAAATAAAAACAGAATTACTCTATTGCTTTTTTCCCAGGTTCTTCCCCTGGTATTGAGTGAGTACCTCCTTTCCTTTTCCTTTACAATATTATTTTCTTTCATTTTGAATTAAATTTACTGAGATATTTTTTCCTTTTGTTGACATTGCGATGGGTGGATATTGTCTGTTTGGCCCCACTAAATCTTATGTTGCAGCTTGATCCCCAGTGTTGGAGGTGGGGACTGGTTTGAGGTGTTTCAGTCATGGGGGTGGATCCCTCATGAATGACTTGATACCGTTCTCACAGGAGTGAGTGAATTCTCACTCTTGATTCCTGTGAGAACTGGTTATTGTAAAGAGCTTGGCTCTTCCTCCTCCCTCTTGCTTGTTCTCTCACTATGTGAGCGAATAAAGTGGCACATGCCAGCTCCCCTTTGCTTTTTGCCACAAGTGGAAGAATCCTGAAGCCCTCACCAGAAGCAGATGCTGGCACCATGCTTCTTGTACACCCTGTAGAGCTGTGAACCAAATAAATTTCTTCTCGTAAAGATTACCCAGCCTCAGGTATTCCTTTGCAGCAACACAAATGGACTAAGACAGGCATGTTAGTGTTGATAATGTGTATCTATAACATAAGGGCATAGGTCAGAAGGTTTAATGGAAACTCAAGATGACATGTATTTTAATTACCTTTAAAAATTATGTTTTATTTAAAAATGTTAATACTGTCTGGATGTGACCACTCACATCTATAATCCCAGTGCTTTGGCAGGTCGAGTCAGGAGGATGGCTTGAATCCAGTAGTTCAAGGCTGCAGTGAACTATAATCGTGACAGTGCCTTTCAGCCTAGGTGACAGAGTGAGATCCTGTCTCTAAAAAAAAGTTAATGCTTATATTGGGAAAATCAGAAAACATAGACTAGCAAAAAGAAAAATAGAAAATACTAATTCTTCCTATGCCTGTCTTTACTTTAATCTCTTAATCCCATCATCTTCATAAGCTGAGGATGTATGTCACCTCAGGACCTTGTGATGATTGCATTAACTGTACAAATTGTTTGTAAAACATGTGTGTTTGAACAGTATGAAATCAGGGCACCCTGAAAAAGAACAGAATAACAGCGATTTTCAGGGAACAAGGAAAGATAACCATAAGATCTGACCATCAGCAGGGTCAGGCAGAATAGAGCCATATTTTTCTTCCTGCAGGGAGCCTATAAACGGACGTGTGAGTAGGAGAAATATCGCTGAATTATTTTCCCAGCAAATAATTTTAATAATTGATAACCCTGGGGAAGGAATGCATTCCCAGGGGTAGGCCTATAGATGACCACTCTGGGAGTGTCTGTCTTATGCGGTTGAGATAAGGGACGAAGTGTGCCCTGGTCTCCTGCACTGCCCTCAGACTTACTAGGATTGAGAAATTCCAGCCTGGTAAATTCTAGTCAGACTGGTTGTCTGCTCTCAAACCCTGTTTCCTGTTAAGATGTTTATCAAGACAATGCATGCACAGCGGGACATAGGCCCTCATGAGTAATTTTGCCCTTGCCTTGTGATCCTGCTCTGCCCTTTTGCCTTGTGATCTTTTATTACCCTTTGAACCATGTGATCTCTGTGACCCACTCCCTATTCCTTTTGAAATCCCTAATAAAAACTTGCTGGTTTTGCAGCTCAGGATCACCATCATGGTCCTACCAATATGTGATGACATCCCCGGAGGCCCAGCTGTAAAATTTCTCTCTTTGTGCTATTTCTCTTTATTTCTCAGACTGGCTGACACTTAGGGAAAATAGAAAAGAACCTACTTTGAAATATTGGGGGCTGGTTCCCCAATACATAGATAAAACACTAGTCAGCACCTTAACCAGCAGCAGCATCCATGTCCAGTGTGGGTTCTGCCTACTCATCTCAGGGTCTCCAATGAGGCACTTGACTGGTGGAGCCAGATCCATGCCTATGAGTGAGGTAGGCAGAGAAAAGTAGTATATGGCATTTCAAGTTCCTACAGTGTAAGGGGACTCTGCCCCCATAGGTCAGGGAGTTCAGGTGCCTCTTAAAATATGGAGTTCAGATGACTAGCCCCTTGAATGCCCAATATCAGTATCTACTTTTTTTTCATAAAGAAAAAAGCATAAGAAACAAACAAAACCACTTTTCTTCTAATTAGTACAACCATCTCTCTTGCAGAAGAGGACACAATCATGTTCTCAAAAGTGATGAGTTCAAAGTTTTATCCATTACTGCATCTGCCTTCAAATACAAAATCCCTGGGGGGTGGCCTTTCATCCTCTGGGTCTGTCATGACCTCATCTCAGTAATCTGTATGCTGAACTGATTACCTAGTAAATTTGACCACTGACAACACACCCTTAGTGGAGAAATAGACAAGGGAAGAGGAAGAAACTTAAAAAAAAATGACATATACATGACATGGCAAGAAAGAAAATGCAGATAGATGCAACAGTATTCATTTCTACAAATGATCAAGAGGCCATAGTTGCTATATATAATTTCCATTCTCCACTTCCCATTTCAGATTCTTTTCACCTTTGGCCACTCCCTTAACTGTTAGGAAATATTTACTTAAGAGAATGACCTAAACCTTTATTCACAAAGGGCCTGAGCCTTGGTGGTCCTAAGCAGCCAGGACATTTTTATTAGAAGACACGACAACACTAGGTGGAACTCCAAGGGGTCCTTTGATTTTTATGACTCTATTGTCAATCAATTTCCACTTGTTATTGATGATTCATATAGCTCTCTGTTTTTCTTGTTCTTCAGGGATCATGAGGAGTCCATACAATGACCATGTGGCAGTCTTAGATTCTAATTCAATGGAACTATAATTTTTTTTCTACTGATAGACACCTTGTCTCAAATTTTTAAATCACCAGAACCCAGTTCATGGGGCTAAGAAGTAACAATTTTGCAAGTGGTTCTGAAGGAGGTGCTCCTCCTGATGCTACACCCATGTATGCTGAATATGGGAAAAACAGCATGTATTGGTTGCTGGTACAGAATAAATAATGAATGTTGGGGTGGGCAGAAATTTGTTAGACAGGGTCAGCAAATCCCAATGCAGAATAAGTTACTATTCCAGTAAAGATAAATTACTGCCCCTTTCATGATAATGGAAGAGGTCTGGGACATTCTTTGAACCCACTCTCTCAACAACCATTATGTCCCCCTTCTAGCTTGCCTTCCTACTGTAAAGGCTGGAAGACTAATGGCTGCATTTCCCAAACTCTCTTAATGTTTCAACTCATTAAAGTGCCCACATGTTTGGAAGTCCAAGGGAGCACCAAGGAGAGAGCTGATCCTCTGCAAGCCAGTCTGGCTTTCAGGTGCTGAGCAGCAGAGGCTACTGGAAGTGGTGGTCTGGAAAGAATCCACTTCTTGCCCCAGGCACATTGTTCCTGGCTTTGTTCCATTCAAACCTAATTCATATCAGGGACTTTAGTTTTATTTCCTGGACAAATAAATATCATACAGAGGCCGTGGCCAGATCAGGTTTGATGAGGGAAATCCAAGTTGCTGAACCCCTGTGTAGCCTGTGTTTCTGCTACTATGCCTACTTCGCTCATTGGGCAACACTGGAGTGCCTGCAGAAAGGAGAGGGTTGCAGGGGCCAGGTCAACCTCTTCTCTTGACTATTGAGCACTTCTTCTCCAGTGGAGGCCTTTGGGTGGCATTCACAAAGAACCAAATATCCTCATACTCTGGATTCATTCTCAGAGATCCCATAGATACCTCTTCCTCCAAACATCCTTGTCTCCAGACTTGCATTCTTGATCGTTCCATGTCTTGGCTGCTGAGCTACACCGTCAGCTAATGACCATTAACTGGTGATATGTGCACCTCATACCATTTCTCCTTTCAGACAAGGTGGTCAGCAAGATGAAATGCTTAAAATTCTGCCTTCTGGAAGATTCCCCTTTGTTGATCTTCAGGGCCACCCTCAAGTTGGGCTATAATGTTGCCGTAGTCCACTTGTGGCTGGTGCTGTCATATTGTGCTGGTTGCTGTCTAGTCAGTTGGACTTAGAGAATACACCATGAAGTCAGAGGTGTAGGCTGAGGATGAAATGGTAATGTGGTAGCAGTGGGAACACCATGCAATTTGTTGTGTCTTCAATTTCTGCTCAAGCCCAATCTTATATAGGAAACTTTCACTTGATCATAAGAAGCAATACAATTTGATAATTTAATATGTATACTTTGAAGCCAGAGAGCCTGTGTTCTAACCAAGTCCTGCCACTTATTAGATATATGGCTATGGTCAAATTGCTTTTATCCTCTCTGTGCTTCAATTTTCTCATCTAAAATAGGAATGATTACAATAACAGTACTATTTCCCAGAAATGTGGCGAGGATTAAAGGAAATGTTACAAGTAAAGTATATAGAGCAGAGCTTGGCACGCTGTGCACACACACTAAATGTTAGCTGACTTTATGGCGTGGTGGATGAGGTAGGCCCCAGCTTATGATGAGCACTAGCCATGAGATTAGGCTGCTGTATTTACCAGTGCCCAGCAACAAGCCAAGATCTGTTTCTCAAAAGAAGGAAAGTTACATGCCACAGAATCCGTGGCTTGCCTGCAAAACTCTGAGAGCCTGTGCTGGATGTTCCAAAGCTCTGTTCCAAAGCTGCATTCAGCAGCCCTATCTGCCACAGGCATTTCAATAACATCGGATCCACTGGATCAGAAGACAGAGCTTCCTGGAACAGCGAGAAAGCATACTCTTGCTTCAGGCTGCACTCAAAATTGGCAACCTCTCAGATTATTGAAAAAACGAGCTGAAATAGCATGTCTAAATCTGGCCTCCAAAATTCAAAGACCAAGTGCAAGCAGCACGCCATTATAGCGTATTTCCAACACCCAGTTATAATACATATAAATAATCTGAGGAGCATAGATAATAATAAAAAGTTGTCAACTAGGAAGTGATGAGTTTGTAATTATCTTTGTTTTTCACATCATTTATTTAACTCTAAGTATATATAATTTGTTTTAATAATGGTT